TGTGGATTGTGTCTTGACGACCTACCTTTGAAGAACTGTAGGACTTACAGCAGTACGCCTACATTCCTTCTCAGGTTGATCATACAAGTGGAAGACTTCCGGACACAAACAAAATTATCAACAGATAGATGAGAGATGATAGCAATTCAGTATATACAACATGAACATATGTGCAGAATAACACACCAAGTACGATGGACTGCGCTTCGAGGTACTAATCTTGAAGAAGCAGTACGCCTACAACCCTTCTCATCTATATCCTCAACTCTGAACAGTGACACGCCCATGACATCGTATCTTGGAATATAAATGAGTAACAAACATACGACATATCTGACCAACCAAGCGTAGGCACAGAGTAATTTACACCAGCGATAATAACATTCAAATAGTAACTTGAAATTTGAAAGGGCTTTATTCGTGCAAGTCATTTTAACAATTAAACTCTCAAACACAGTTGGCTTATCCTCACTAAAATGACCATTGACTTTCGTTCCTTCGAACAGACCAATACTTGCATAGTCATAGCATATGACACTTGAGTTCATGGACGTCACCTTCAATGGCTATGTGTATGGATTATTATAAACAAAGTATGATGACAGCAAGTGGCAAGTAACTGAAGACTGATGTTACTCATCCAATCACTAAACAGGATACAAGCATGAAAAAAGGTGAAATAATAAACGATTATCTATTACACTTGGCTGTGTAATTTTTTACGGTTTTCTTCACAATAATACAATATATTTTCTACACTTTTATACGAGCGAAATTCACTCAAACACAAATCCTGTTGGAAGATAGTGCTTGTCTTGAAAGTGAAATATTTACTCTACTCTAAACTAGATACGGAGAGAAGCGTTGAACAGTACCGCATAAAACCAAGACAGTATAACATATATGACGACCAGGCAGCTGAACTGTAAATTTCACTCATGATACAAATAAAGAACAATAACTTTTCCATCCATAAAATTTTTATTGTTGTCAACAATTTATTATAAAAGCAGGGAAAAAGAAGTTGAACAATTTATCGCCAAATAGGAGAAAGAAAAACCAGATTTCAAAAAAACAAGCCCATAATATAACACGGCTATCATATTAAAAGTGAGGTAATGAGGTAAAGCAAAGAAGCGGTATAAGCTAATGATGAAACTAGGAAAGAGACAACAGCATTAAATAAGGTCTTCCGCGACTACCACGATTGATGCCTCCAGTTCCACGTCCCCCTCGTTGACCTCTACTGTAATTGTTATCACCGGAGACATATCCGCTTGTAGGCCTCGAAGGAAAATAAAGTAAATTTGCTTAGAAAAGTATTGAAAAACAGAGCAAATTATTCATGAGTAAACTGATTAAATTAGAAGTCGACCGACCAGATAAAGCTAATAATAAATAACGTTTTATAAACGCAATGTACTTTTATGTGAAGTTTTATATGCTAGTGACTGACTCCATTGCAACAGAGAATTTCTGTACGGAAGTGAAGCATTTTAACTTGTCACACTTCATGTAGCACACTAAAGCAGAGACAAAGGAGAGGAAAAAGAAATCCGAAATGATTTTGATAAGCAAAAAATTGAGTGAGAAATAACAGAAACACGGGAAAACATGCGGGTTTAATAGCTATGGCAGAGAGAATGAATCTGTGCCATTGACAAGGACGATTTTGAGTCATATCATCAAAGCTTGTCTCCAGCCATTGCTTCTTGAAATCCCGGAGACCACAAACAGGCGATCCATACCTGCCTACTTGGCTCAAACTAACCGTTAAAGACTTCATTGACTGATTCCATGTTCCAAGTTGACCACCACCAACATTAACTCTTTAAAAACATGATCCTATGACAGAGAACGCTGCCGGTTGAGGAAAGGAATGGCAAGACATGCAAAACACATTTCTTAGCCATCTCTTTATATTCCATTGCCTGTTTGAATGTTTCTTAGAAGTCATTAATAAACAATATCGTTTACCCATCGTTTCAACCACAGGCGTATGGAAGTGACGAGTATATCAAAGCGACGATCAGTAACGCAAGGCAAACTTTCATTTCTCTCAAGTGTGTGTGGAGTCAACAGCACGCAGCATCAAAAATAAGATCCGGATTTTCAACTCCAATGTGAAGTCAGTGAGTGCTAGTTTACGGATCAGAGACTTGGCCAGTGCTTCACGAAGGGCACTTTGGACAAACTACAGACTTTCATTAACAGCTGTCTTCGCTCAATACTTTGCTCAAAATCAAATGGCCTGCTAGAAAAGATCAGCAACAGGGATCCCTAGGAGCGAACGAACCCAGAGGAAACCAATCGTGCAACAAGTAGGCACGAAGAAATGGAGGTGGATTGGCCATACTCTGAAGAAACCATCAAGTGACATCACACGCCAGGCTCTCGAGTGGACCTCGAATGGGAAGCGCCGAGTTGGTCGACAGTTCGAGGGTGACATGGAGAAGCTCATGTAAAGAGGAGATGAAAGCATATGGGCAGACGTGGAGTTAGGTGAAAACGTTGGCGGGGAACCGAACGCAATGGAGACGTGCGGGTGAAGCCCTATATTCCTCTAGGAATTAAAAGAAACAATAATAATAATAAACAATTATAATCATCTGCATACTGTTCCAAATTACAATGTAGAATACACAGCCTAATTATCTACAGCTCATAGGGATGAGAATGTGATTAGCTGACTAAGAAAAGAAGCACAAAAATGATCCACAAAAGCAGCGATAGATGAAGAGAAAAGTTCATTTATAACTTCGTTATTCATTGTGACTTCTTTCTCGAAAATGATTGAACTCGAACAACGCTAATCAAATACCATTCAGTTAGCTAACACTCTTCTATAGCTGCTAAACTATTATAATGTGAGACTATTATCGTCAACAGTATAACTTACTAATGTTAGCTAGTACAACTAAAGTCGGCAAAGTTACTTTTTGTAATCACACCTACTGAAATGGTACTCTTTACATACATGTTCTCAGAACAAGGTTAGTGGACAGGACGCATGTAACGCACTACAAGCTAATGTCTTAGCCGGCAAACAGTGTCATTCGGGGTAGGATTTGATTGGAAGTGTTAAATATGACCAGACAAAAGTATAGCACGAATATATCAAGTGATTTTCTGTCAGCTTGAACCACTTAAAGTGGTACACATTCAACTATGAAGACGTTGGGATTCAGTGACTAAGGAATCTTGGTGATAGGAAGGGTGGAAATTGTCCACTTGATGACTGTGGCTGACAACTTATGAGCCATTTTTCTGTTTTCCTGGCAGAAAATTATAAATTATCAGAGTGAAAAACAAGTAGTTGTGATGAGTTATAATACATCAGAGAGAGAGAGAGAGTAAGATGTTAGGTCTATGAAGTCAGCTGATGTTGACTTAAATCCAATCGATGTAATAGCCGATTTCTATGCTGATTCCTAAGACTCTATATCTGAGAATGCACACCTAGAATCAAGTTTTCATCCAGGAAAAGATTTAAGTCGAGGTTGTACCATCTTCTAGGTGTGTTACCAACCAAAGATTACCGTTATTATTTAGACTAGACTACATGATAAACAATACGTTCACCTATATATTTCTCTACCTAGCATCATTCAGTCTATGCATAACTTGGAAGCCTAGAACTTAAGATACTACATTATTCAGGCTTATAACCTTTCCCACCCTCGATGATTGTCATCTGAAGACTTGTCTCCCTTCTTGCAAAGAATGATAATCGTTCATCAAACCAGTCCAACGGGACTGCCACTGATTCTCAAACATTACCTAATACCAAGAGTGATTTGATAATGGAATTTGAAAACCAAAACAGCAGAATTAAGTCCACTTGAGATGTTTTTCTAACCCATGTCAACTAAATCATAGTATGAAAAGTGTATCGCGAATCCAACTCTAAGGCCCTGTTTACACTGAACAGTTGGCAATTTTGACCGGTTAGTGGTATTCTCTTCATTCTATAATGCCGACTATACCTGTGTTGTTCTCTTCTGTTAGTTTGTTATATACGAATCTTAGGTGGCTACCAAATGGTACTCAACGTGATTTGAATATCTCAGTGGTAAGTTTACTGAATTCACCGTCAAGTGATAATGTATGTTCGACTTTTGCAGAGAACAGGAATAGCCGATAACTTTTATCGATTTTTAACAGTAAACATGCGCCACTTCCCATGTCCAGAGCACCCTGTCAACTGAAATACTGATACCGCTATGACACATCGTTAGTCTGGTTTACAAAAATTACAATTCGAAACAACGGAGTACACCACTGTAGTGTAGTGTAGAGTACAAAGATAATTTACACAGTACAAGGTGTTCCGTTTAAACTATTCGACACCTTTATATTAGGTACAAAACATAATTGATCAGGCGGCGAAGAGGAGAGGACCTGGCAATACTAAGTGCTTACAACAGCTGCTGCATCCTATATAGACAAAAGGTGAATGTACATGATATCTCTTCATAAGCATTAAAATATTAGCCTCTACGTCTGCCACAACGTATTAGTCAGAAAGAAGTCCAAAATTAATTTATTTCCCTACTTTAACTAATAGAAAAGTTGATATATATATGTTGGTTTAAAATTTAACTAAAAACATCGTGCCCCCCCACCCCGTCCAAATAGATGAAAAATTCGTCTTGAGAATTCATAGTGAGATGGTAATCAAATAGTCTCCTCACTAAAATAAAAATCTTATCAATAACGTAGCACTTTGTTAATTGAATTATAAGGATGATAAGCTGTTCAGTTGGTTGGTGGTGGCTAGCAGTGGAACTTAGGACACTTGTTACTCGTTGGAATATTCAGCTGAGTGCACCAGAACGCTAATGAGGGACGGTGTTCCCAGTGGGACTCGAATAACCATAACACTAAGTTAACTTCCAGGCATCATTGAAGAGTCTACACTATAAAACCGATGTGGCGAAAGAGAAGAAGCATTCCCATTCAGTGAAATCAACAAACAACAAGGAATTTAAAAGTTCCAATTAAACAGACACTGATAGATAAACGTCACATTCTACTGCTTCGCAAGCAGGTTTTACATTCTCATGAGTAGGAAAGCAGAAACAATTTGACAAATCAACCAGACTATAGTGAATGGGGGATGATAAAACAACATTGTGATCCCTTACTTGAAAGACAAAATTCTGTTGTGGACCAACTGACAACTCAGGTTCAAATAACGTCAACCCGCTCATCTGTTGATTCATCACAGCCATTTGATAAGGATCTGGAATATAACCGACACCACCAGCACCACCAGCACCACTACCACCCATATACGGTGTCGGTTGACCATGCATTTGATATCCCTGAGTAAAGCCAGCACTGCCGTCTCTCCCACTATTACCAATATCACTTCTTCTTTCATTTCTAATTCCACCAAGACTATAACCTTAGTATGAGTAGGAATTAAATTAATAACTTCAAAATCTATGGCATCAGCAGGTAAACGTTTCGTATGATAAAAGATAGCATCTCAAATTAACTGTGAAGTATTGCAATTTATGAACAGTTACATAAAGAAAATGAATCACTTCGCATCCACCTCAGTACAATCAATAATAGTTGTGCATTTGTTTAACCAATAAGCTTTCACCAACTGCCTAAGACATCCACTCTCTTTTAGATGTATTAATATGTAGTGTTCTCAATATGCACAAGAAATTTCTTTTCACATTATGTATATACGTACAAGCCTGATAAATACTCTTCAGTCCCACTACATACGCCTTCGTTCAAATGTATCCACAAACTTAATCCGCCGCAACAAAAGCAACATTAGTGTTCAGTACAAATACTCAACCAAGAATAAATCATAGACGTTCATCAAGTGGACAAGTGTCATATTTAAGCAACCCAAAATTAAGACTGAACCAACAAGGAATAAAACACTTCACCTCCCAAGTAAACATTTCACAACATACATAAGTTTCCTTATATTATGATGCAGCTACAAGTCATACTCTTCTTCACACAACTAAATCACAAAACTATTCATGATATAACATGAGTTCAATCACACTAAGACCCTACGACGTCCTACTACGCGTAACATACATTCGACTTCACAATATATAGTGCACAACCTAAAAGAGGATTCATCCATCGTCAAAATCCTGTGGGAATTTTTCTAAACCAAGCACACGCGACACTGAACATACATCATAGTAGTGTAAACATGCGTCCACCTTAACAAATACATAAGTGACTTCTCAAATGGCTCTACATTCTGTGATTGAATATTCTCTACCCTTACCCTGTTGTACAGACTGGTCATGTAGTGATACTACCACCAACTATGTCTCCGGGAGAACACCTTCTATGCGATGAATAAATCAAGTAAATAGATAAAATTATGTAATCAGACGAAAGTTAACAGGAATGTATGTTCTGGGCATTTGAAACACTCACATGAACTCGTGAACGCCAAAAGGGTAACGTAAATCAGTGGGAAATATCAAATAATAACAACAATAATAAGGCTTTGTTTCAGACAACATGCGAACGCATAGTATAGAAATTTTCAGCGTATCTAGTTCTAAAATATTTTGTCTCCATACAAGATTTACATATAAAGTAGTAATCTGAGGTATGTCATGTGAGGCGTAGTGTTGTCGCATATGAAGTGAGAACCAAATGATGAGTAGATTTTCTCTTCATTTCCTTCAAGAATTGCACAGTGTTTTGTTGAAAGCTAATTAAATACTTGCGTGAGTCGATGTAGCGATCATTTGATACAATTGGATGTTTAAAACCATAAGAAATGCAGGAGGTTCCCCATACCGCTCCATCCATTTCTCGCCCACATACGATTGGAGGTTTTCACCGTTCTAGCGTGATTCCGTTCTTTTGAACGGTGTTCAGATAAGTTTCTATGGTAATGCGGCTAGAACATACCTGATGACCTTAAATGCGATTTATTTTTGAAGATACAAGCAAGTGATATCACATAAGTTTACGAAAAATACTCATTCAGACATGGAAACATAAACAAGCAGTTCAGTAAGTGTCTCTATTCGTCTACTATGTGCGTACACTAAGTTTGTCAGACAAGAAATATAATTATTTCGGAGTATTGCTAACATCATAAAGTATTCCAAAAAGTGTGATGAATAATCAGAAATGTAACTAAGTGGACGTGGTAAAGATTAGTGAGTTTTAAGCGGGATCAGGTAATATGAGAACGTTCGGAAAAAACTGTATGTTAATAAAAGGGCAAGGAGGCAAGTATCAGAATAAATGATGTAGTAGGTGAGAAGAGTAAATAGAAGGTTAGTTTAGAAGGTGATGATAATAAACGTCATACGAAAAATATGCAAAATAGTATTAATATAAAGTGCTGATAACAGTTGGACTTTGGAATAGTCCCATGGTAGAAAGAGGGGATGGAGAAGTGTTTCCGTGTACATAAATCAGAGTTTTCCATCCGAATCTCTAAGGTCTTGATTATGCAAAGTATACGGAAGCCTTCTGTTTCGGCGGGCTTCTTTCGTTTTGTAGATAAATTTGAATGAATTCTGCCTGCATATTGAGTGGCCAGTATTGAATACATGTTCAACTGTAGCACTCCTTATTCATCCACTTTTATCTTTTCGTGGCAAAGCGAGATAATGTTCTTGACTCTTTTAAACAAAGCACTCATCGAACTGCCTATATATCTTCTTCCACAAAATCACCTAGGTAGAAAGTTGGATGAGTACCTTGATATGATTATGAGCAATAAATTTTTCTGGAGACGTCATCAGTAAATATTACTATTTAACACTGTGAGAATTTATCAGAATGTATTTTACCCATAATAGAAATATACAGTGCACAAGCCCTATTGTTATATGAAGTCTCCATATATGGTCTTGTGCTCGTATGGAAGAGTGCGTACTTGTTCCAGTGCATTGATGAGTTGAGTCTTGTAATCCCTGAAGATGCCTTGTAAATACATCCTATTAGTACTGTAGCGTTTTTGAAGGGTATGTTGACCCATGGAGTGTCGTATACGTTGTTGAGTTCCCTATTTTCTAGTTGTAATACAGTAAGAGTGTTCATCAAGTACATAAACCAGTTTCCTCTCTTACCGCTGCTCCTGTCATATTGAAAGTGTGTGTACCAATCGATGAGTATCTCTTCGTCTGGTATATTCGATTGACACCAAGATTCTGTAATAGCTATAGAGCGTCTATATACTAGTGTGTGCCGTAAGCATTGGCAGTTTGTTTAGGATAGATCTAGCACTAATAAGGATTAAGTAAATTTGAGAGTTGAAATAGTGTTTGAAGTGAAGTGCGTCGGTGGCACAGTGGTTAGGACTCTCGCCGTTCATGCACATGGTCCTAGGTTCGAGCAAACGCCGACGCACACCTGATATCTATGGTCGGCCTGAAATGGCCACCGATATCCATGCTGAAAATTCCATATTTGTACCAAAAAAAACGGTGTGGAATCAAGCTGTAATCAAAATAAAAAATATTTTAGCTCGTTAATCAGGCTCAAGTGTGGTTCGGCATCCACTGGTTCTGCGTTTCATGAAGTCCCAGTGTTACAAGTAGTGGCAATACTATTTTCACTTACTTCAATTGAGTTACTATCTGCTGCTTGTAGTCAGCAGTGAGTCGTAATACTGGATTTATTCTAGGAGGAGGTAGTTATGGGCTTAGGTAGGTTGGAGACACGGGTAGAACTTTTTATTTGGCATACGTCTGTACAAGCATTGGATGTGATTGGTAATTGTGATTGTCCTGGACTGTCTGTCTTCTTCCCAAGAAAAAGGTAACATTAGTGGTACGCGTTAAGAAGAGGCAACATCCCTACCAGTTGTTTGGTCAGCACTGACTGAGATGTGGTGGATAAAAGTATATTTGTACCTTGTGATGCCTATAACTTATTATTATGCCCGATGCTTGGACGCACTGTATATGTCCTTATATGCGTTTCATTATATGCATTGCTGCACTGTGGTTTAATTTCCAGCAGACTTGTGCCGTATATTCTGTCAAAGTTTATTTGTGTGTCATACTTTGAAGACCCAGAGTGGTTGGTAGCTGAGCTCTGAGTGTTGTCACTTGTACCATTTTGCCTGATGGTGTTGCAACGCCAGCTTTAGTAAGCTTTAGTGAGACTTGGCATATTATGCGAATATGTACTGGTGTCATCGCCCTATTTGTGTGGTTGTTAGTTAGTATTGTAACAAGAGAAGACAAGGGCCAGGCAACAGATCGTTTAATAAGGAAATCAACACGTATTTATATGTATTTCATGTACATTATTATAGCTTATTTAGGCAGACAAACACAGTCTTTTGATTGGTTGTTTCTAACAGAAAGTTGACCTTACATCTCTTTGTGACTGTTTCTTGAGTGTCCGATCATCTATATATTACTTGTATCTGTCTACGCCAAGTCTGCTGGTTGTTGAATCAGTCTTGCTCATATTTTCTCACCATCAATATTTGCGACATACCCATTGACGTGAAATGCTGTCTACCATTATTGGATAGCCTTCTCTCACCACAGTATAATTTTGTATTTCATTTCTTTTCTAGCAAGGATTCTTCTTGCAAAAATTTTGTGAAAGTAGTGAATTTTTGGTTACGAGAGGTATTTTTCGGCAAGTTTCGTTACCGGATTGCTCTTCAGCTCTCGCATCATGGCTATGGTAGGATACTGTCAACTTTTGAGAGGGGGAAGGCCTATAATCAAATAGTCTTTCAGCTGGTGTCGTCTTCTGTGGAGCTAATTTTGTGGAGTTTGAGAGGGGGAGACTATGAGTTCTACCATTTTGGCCGTGGGTTCATCTATTTCGGTGACTTGCAATGTCTTATCTTTCTTACCACTAGGTTTGGTGAAATGATTGTAAGAGCGCTTTTCAATCACTGTCTTATCTAGAACAACTTTTCTTTGCCTGTAACTTGCATCCTAATATAGGATGATTTATGAGTTGATGAAATTCTTACCCTCTGTCTGTGTGACAAACTGAAGGTGTCTGAGACAGCTGATTCTCAGTCTGTGGGACTTAGTTTGAGAGACAGTCATTTACGCCACCTCAAGTAAGATGCCTTGAACTTTTTTCAGTCCCACACTAACCGTTAAGTTATAGACTATTACACTTGATTTTGTATACAGTCTTTTGATGACCTTTCTTGTGATGAAGTTTATCAGGATGTCTACGGGGATACCGATTCTGTAAGGATGCTCAGGGGTGTTAGTTTACACACCTGTAACTTTATGTCACTAATCTGTTCTGATAGCTCAGATATGCTGGCCATATTTTCTGAATATCTTGTATTCATAGCCTTACCACAACTTAT